AACCGAGAAGATAAATGCAGCAGTCACAGTGCTAGTGAGTCAGAGGATTTTAATGTGGTATTTTTGCTCAGTTAAACACACCATCTCACCACGGAGTTAATCTGTAAAATTTCAGGTCTGAGGCAAAGATGACACCACGATTTCTTGCATGGGTTTCCACCAGTATTTGTTCATACAGGAAGTGTTGAGCAAACTACAGTTTGACCTGATGGTGGCACTAGATGAGGGCCCACGAATCTAACACTTTCATCAAGTAGTTCCAGTAGGGTGAGCGCCGTCACCTCGTAGCTAGAGGGTTGCTAGTTTGTGTCCCAGTGAGGACATCCGGGATCTTCCTGCGTGGAGTCTCCATGTTCTCCTCATGCAGCGTGGGTTCTCTCCGGGTTCTCCGGCTTCCTCCCACAGTCCAGAAACATGCTGAGGTTAATTCTAAATTGTCCGTAGGTGTGAATGTGAGTGTGCTTGGTTGTCTGTCTCTAAGTGTAGCCCTGTGATAGACTGGTTACCTGTCCAGGTGAACCTGCCTTCACCCTGAGTCAGCTGGGATAGACTCCAGCCCCCCATGACCCTGGTGAGGATTAAGGTGTAGAGATGATGGATGGATGGATGGACAGTGGTGAAGTGACTGAGCCTGAGACCAACACTGGAGCCACTGTCACGGCTGAGGATTTGCTTTTACGCTAATCTTAACATAACTAGGCAGGTCACATGCTGTACACTGCATATAAACATGTAGTATCTTAGAATAACCTGACATTACTTGGTATGAATTAAACTGAAAAAGAATTAAGAGACACTAAAACACTCATAATCATTGCTTGATTCAAAATGCAATCAACCTGTCAAACAAAATTTAATATAAAGCCTTAAACAGTAGCTGATTTGATATTATTTTTAAACAGGAGGGTGCCCAAATGTTATAATAAACTAATGTAAAAGGAATTTCTCATGCTTCTCACAATACACGACAAGTAGGAGCATTTTAAAGTTCACGACTCACATCCTTGGTTTTTTTTTTTTGGGTCTAAATTCCAATAAACACAAAATAGAAAAGTGAACAGCTCAGCACAGGCCGGTCACTACAGGTCAGTTTCCTCAGTCAGATCTGACTTTTTCTACTCCTAGATTCAGATTCACCTGTTACACCAAGCATCTGTAGTAAAACTGTAGCTGCAGTCCCCTTTTAGAGGTGGTTTAGTCTGCTACAGCGTCTATCTGGGGTGTTTTGTTCATTCCTACTGTTTACTGTGACCCTGAAGGTGCCATTACTCTATAGCGTATATGATGTATATTAATAATAAACTGGTTTTAAAACAATATTTAGTGCAGGTAAAAGGACATGAAGGCCCAGACAGAGCAAAAACTGAAAAAGATAAAATAAATAAGAAATATTAATAAAAACTAAGAGAAATATTGTAAGAAGCGATTGTGAAGAAGCGTCAGACTTCGTGTGTTTGAGTTCAGGAGACAGAGCGTTGCCTGGTGGGGGAGCTGTAATAGAAAAAAGCCTGATGTGATGGTGAGGACTCGTCACTTCATCAGATGTGTTCAGGAGCCTTAAAAGTGAACAAGGGGGAAAATTCAGGCTTCATATAGTAGATTATATTATAGATCTGCTCCTTCAGCACCACGGACAGCACCATGGGTTTATCAATACGCTGAACAGATACGATATTGATACTTCAGAGCCGTCGTCGGAGCCATGCAGTCTAACTTGCACAAATCTCAGTCAGATAAAGATCATTGAGTCAGGCAGGATTGATCTGCTAAAAAAAAAAAAAAACCTCTGTCAATGCACTCGTTCTGCTGCTCGGGGCTGGAGGGGGGACTGCAGGTCATTCCCCTTATTCTGCATCAACACCGCCTGCTGTCCTTATGAGTCTCCGTCCTCTTATGTGGATTAAAACATATGAATGGAAAGCCTTGAGCTACTCTTCTGGCTGCACACTTTGAGCTGCATGTTTTTATTTCATTCATTTATACCATATTAGCAGCACAGTGTACTTGTGATATATGGGGAGTTATTCATCTCATATATATGATAGTAGCGCCTGTATACAGATGTTATTTTGCTCCTGTAAACAATTCAACTTTTCATGGGTTGAGAAAAACAGCTCAGTTTTCAGCCCTGTTCTTCGTCAGTGGGTTTTTCAAATTGTTTATTTAGGTCCATGATTAAATGACATTTCCCCGGACTGTTTAATTATCTGTGCAATATGTGGGACAGTGCTGCTGCGTACATAAGGAGAAATATTTCATATATATATAGTCTCGACACTGTTATTTTTATTCTGTTTTATATTTATCTCTTTTTTTTTTTTAAACCTTGCACTACTTTTATATATACAGATATATTTATAGTTATAGTTTACAGTACTTATTAACAAATTACTGCCTCACAGGTTACAGTTCTGTGTACTCTGGTAGCCAAGCAACGACATTTCATTGCCAGATTCACGATTGTGTTTCTGTGCAATGACAATAAAGAAAGTCTAATTTCTCAGCACATTGAGGAACATTTAAAGCTGGTGTAGGCGATATTTTTTGACATTCATGGACAAAAATTCCACACTAGATTTTCAGCGTGTCATATTTCACATGATGTGAGAGGAAGCTAGACTTCTGCATGTTCTTTGGCTCCATTTTAGTTTAATGTAGTCTGTGACGGGGAGATTTCAGCCAATCAGAGGGCTTCTCACCGATCAGATACATAAGAACAGGATGTGGAGACACAGTGGGTTAGACAGAGGACTCTCACTGACAGAGTGTGTTTCTAAAACCTGGGCTAAGCTGCTGACTTTTAATGTCTGCATTCCAAATCTCATACTTCTTTTAGTTTAGTTCATACTCCAGCTGCTCTCACTAAACTGTTTCATGCTTCATCAAAATATTGCGCCTTAAGCTTTGACCTTCATGTGACATGAGCTGCGACCTGCCTGTTCGCTCTCAGCAGCTCAAGGTTATTTATACTTGCTCAAGAGACCTCGAAGTGTGTGATGTAACCGTGCAGAGGATCGTGGGTCAGAACGGCCTGCCGGGTTGCAAAATTCAGCCGAATGTAGTAGAAGTACACGGTGGCGGTTACAGTAGAGGGAAGAGCTGCAGGGGGAGGAGGTTTATATGTTCACATTCTTTGTTTTTCCTTTTCCAAATCTATGCTCCCGCTGCAGCTTTCTGTTTATCTGAATGATCCAGATCTGAAGAGGTGGTGACAGCTCACACAGTGGAGTTGTTTTCTTCTTTCTCTGCCATCTGTACAAAGGCCAGTCGGTATCTGTGCGGTCTTTATTTTGGGTTTTGAGGTAATTCCACAACCTTGTGCTCATATCTTTGAAAAAAAAGGGTATCTGCATTGGCTGATTTAAGCAACATGGAGTGGAAATGAGTTCCTGTCTGTGCGTACGCAGACAAACTGGGTCGTAAAAGCCCAATCTGTGCCGCGCACACATTAAAACAAGCATCCACGTAGAACAACATACTGCGGGGTACGGGAAAGAGAATAACTGAGGAGAACTGGGAGCACATTTGTGAAATCCAGTGGGTCTCGACTGGTTCGAATATCTGGCATGAATTCTGTTGGAAAAATATTTTTTCATTACAGCAGCCTGAAAAAAGATAGCTGGGAGCTAGAGGTGCCTGTTGGAGGTGTGGCACTGAAGGAGCGTACCGTTTCCATGTTTGTTGGAGCTGTCAAATTATTCCAGAGCACTGGGTTGGGATCCATCAGCGTGTACTAACTGTGTTCTCAATGGTTTCCCCCTTTTATTTGAAACTGTGTGTGTTGGTAACGTAGTCCTGGATGGCCTCAGCAGTGGAGACAAGAAACTACTTTACATTCTTTTAAGTAAAAAGGCCGTCACCAGAAGATGAGCCTGAGCAACCAAGAAAGGAGGATCAACATTATACAAGAAACTACAAAATGGAAAAAGTGTATTTTTGACTAAAACTGCAAATTTTATAGAACTTGGTCAAAATGGACAGAACATGTCGAGCCGATAAGATCTGACTTTATGTAAAGCTGCCGTTCAAATAATGATGACTGCTGCAGATTTTATATTCATTTATTTATCTTTTTCGAAGATGGCAGCGGTGAGGTCGGCTGCTGTCGTACCTGCTCCAACCTTCTGTTTGCATATAGCGATTTTACTTTTTATTTTTAATTTATTAAGCTCGCCTGTGCTGTGTTGTCGCACATACGACAAGGAGACACTCCTAAACATAGGAATACGGCACTTAAACTGTGTTCCTGCCACCTTTTCTCTGGACCCGGCTTGGCCTCAGGTCATTCTGCGGGGAGCCGACAACAACAACAATGGAGGACGCGCAGGCTCCAGGTCACGGAAAAGGCCCCAAAGGAAACAAGAGACACCAGACGCCTCTGCCAAGTATCCTACGAGCCAATGTCCAGTCTTTGGAGAACAAGCTGGATGAGCTGAGGGCCAGGACAAAGTACCAGAGAACATCTACACCCAACGATGCAGGTCAAGGACTATGAAGATCCTGAAGCAGCTTAGCCATCCTGGAAAGTCCCTCTTTTCCCTGCTGCCGTCAGGCCGACGCTATCGCTGCCTAAAGACTGTGACTGAGAGAATGAGGAAGAGTTTCTTCCCTCAGGTCATCTGTTTGCTCGACTCTGAGCCTTAAACTGGACTGTGATGCACTACACACTGGCACCTTTAAATATTTTGCACCTTGTACAGCACATGTTACATTTGCTTTATTAGATTAGATTTTATTTTATTTATCTATGCATATATATTTCTTGAGCATTTGAGGTATCTTATTTTATTTTTATTTTTTATTGCAGCTGGATGCAGGTACTAAACACATTTCACTACACATTGTACCGTGTATAATTGTGTATGTGACAAATAAAGTTTGTCTTATGTTATGAAGATGCTATGTTGTTGTTCTTAGCTGTTCCTGTTCTTAGTTCTATTTCTGTTTCCTCAATAAAAAAAAAAATAAAAAAAAAAAATAAAACAAAACAAGCACCTTTATTCTAAGAGTGGCACCTTGTAGACTTTATTTTCAGGTCTTTGAACCGTACACAATCTATAGTACCATGGATAAAACCGAGAAATAAATAATGTGTAATACTACAATAGCACATTAAAAAGGACACACATGTTACAGGTATAGTATCCACCATTACTGGGTGAGTATTTTAAACGGGGAGATGCTTCAGTTCATACACCGCTATCCATGCACGTGCACGACAGCTGGTCTGCATGTCGTCCATATCAGAACAGAACATCATGTCACATTGGTTTGGCGTAAAGTCGTCATACTCCAGTCATCGATTACAGCTAAACCGCGTTGATCCACAATGAGTTGGTTCCATTAACTCATACGACAGATAACTATTGATAACAGCTCGTTAAAATGATATCTTAAAGTATTTGCCACAGTCTAGAGTAGTTTTGGCCTCGTTCAAGCAGACGTAAAATCTCAAGTAAATGTTCAGCGCTGTTAGTCTGAATTGCATGACGTTAAATAATGTTCCCCTGACCTGTGAGTGAAACAGCTCAGCAGCTAAACTGTAAAAGTGGACAAGTTCCACGTGTTTATGTCGGTCAACCACACATTCCTTTTCCCTGCGGTTTGTCCAGTCCAGTCTGGGTTCACGTTGAAGTAGAAATGCCGACAGTCCTCTTTGTTCGTGTGAATAAAGTTATTCTGGTTGGAAGAAACATGACCACTTAGCCTCCAAAAACCTGGAAAGTGTACAACAAACAGGGTTCAGCGGTCTGGTGACGGAGGAAGTCCTGCACACACACCGGGGAGCTTGGAAGTTTTAACGGAACGGTGGCTCAGCTTCTAGCCGTCCAGAGGTTTTCCCAGGTACACCATGGTGACTTCAGTGTTGCCGTACACTGCAGACACGGCGGGGAACAGGCAGGCTTTGGGCAGTCCACGAAACGCTACTCCGAGAAACTCGAAACCCCTCTCGAAGGCTAACGTCTTGTCATCCATGTCTAGGATCACTCGTATTCTCTCCCCGATCTGTGGACAAGCATGAGCACGTGTTGGATCACACAAACACAAAACAATTTCAAAGCTACTTCATACACACAAGGCTCCTACCTGGTATTTGGGTGCATTGTTGCACTGCGGGAAATTCCCATTGACCTCCCCGTTGTGCAGCAGGTTGTTGTCGACCAGGTTCCAGCCCCAGCTCTGGTCGTCGCTGCCCAGCAGGGCCACGTAGCCCTGGCACTGCATCGCCGCCCGCTTTGTGGCAATGCCTATCACGGCCACGGTGCCAAGAGGGCCTTCCCACCAGATTTCCCAGGCATGCCGGCCTTCTGAGAAGCCAATTTTGCCACGTGCGCCGTCTGTACTCTGGGCGATGGGGTTGCGATGCAGGGTGAAGCCGTTCTTCTTCACATAAACGTTGCGTGAGCAGTCGTGGGAGCTCAGGGCGTGTTGGAAGGCCTTGAGCTGTAGAGGAGGACAGGTGATCGATCAGGTATATTACAGCTGTTATGGTTAATGGTGAAACACTGTCTGTTAGAAAAGCATTTTGGCACAACTAGATGAGACACTGTGCTGGATTTATGTTGTGTTATGTTGTGACATAAATGAATCCAAACATTCAGACTTAGTTTAATAACCATACAGAGCAGAAGAACAAGATTTCTCTTTAAAATGTAAAACTGGATTCAGGTATTTTATAGCAACATCTGGGGGACCTCCAAGTGTCTCTAAGAAATACTGAGTTCCTATACACAGTCCCATTAACAGACTGGTTCAAAAACAGGTTTGGCTTCTTGTGGGCCAACGTACACACAGTTATGCAACAATGATAACCCCACTCAGGGCTCCAGTGATAAAACAGAGGACCACTATCTCATGTGGACCTGGTTTTATCTGCTCAGTGTCATTCAAAACAACTGTACACCAAACGCCATTCAAGAATCTGCCCATTTATTTTGGATCTGTAGAAAAAAAGACAGCTATTTTTTCTCCTTTATATCTGTTTATAAAATATTAGTAAAGACTCATTAGAGTCTTCCGGCATACAGTAATACAGTTTATGGATTCATAATGAGAAGCACGTTGACACTCATGTTCCGTGCTAGCAGAGCTGCAGCGCCACTAAACAGGCAGATTTTTGAACGGAGTTCGTCATTAATCACCGTCCACTCGGCCCCAGAGAACACAGGTGTGCCAGTGTGCTGAACCTACTTTCCCCTTGTAGGTGGGCAGGTTGCACAGGATGTCTGACCGCAGAGCCTCATCGCTCAGAGACCGGCTGCAGAGGCTGCGCCACACCTCGCTGTTTTCATCCGCGAGGATATTATTCCAGTGCCAGCACACCAGCTCGCACCCCATCAAGTCAGACAGCTCCAGATAGGAGAAAATGTGCTCCAGGACCCGGGCTGGCAGCCTCCCGGCCACCCCTGCGCCTCCCCCGGCTGCAGCAGCGTAGGGAGAGCCGGCGGAGCTGCAACTGGCAGCCGCTGCTGCGCCCAAACAGGAGGAGCCTCCTCCCCCACCGGCCGCTCCAGACATTATAGCCCTGCTGTGGACCGACGACACCAGCCGACCGAAGAGTTGCACCTTACACCGTAGGATGACTCCTAAAATAAGTTAAATAGCAACATTTTACCTATAAAACCACACGTAGGTCGCAGTAAAACCACAACAGTATGGACCCGACTCTTCCCAGTTCAATGGCTGAATGGAAACGATGCGTCAAGGTCCTGGAAGAGCCAATACACTCATTTCGCTGGTGTCAACAAAACATGGAAATTTATTTGCAATACTACGAGTTATTTGAAATGTGCCACAAAACCACATAAATGCAGTGTTCAAATGATACTATATAAAACAAAGCGCCAAGCTCAGGTGAAATATATTTTATTGCCTGCAAGGACCGCAGAGCAGACATATTAATGAGCTCACAGAGGATCGCTCCAATGTTGCAGTGTTACGATATTGAACGTTACACCGCTGCAATGTCACAAAGTGGCGACTGTGTAGTAAAAAAACCCAGCACCGATTATGTGAACTGTGTTAGATGATGCCATTGTTTACTTAGAAATTATATGATTTTTTTAAAATTCATAATTCGAATTTTTGTTTGTTGAGAAAAAAAAGCTTTAGGTTAAATATAAAAAGCAAAAATACACACTGCGTTAGGAAAATATAAAGAAAAGAAAGTGGTATTTTATTATCGCGGACCACGTGACGTGACACGGAAGTGACGGTGTGCTCAAAAGAGTTAAGCAAAGCATCTGGGAGCAAAACACCAGCTAGCTAAAATTTCATTTTACAGCAGAGGACCAGAGGAGGAGACTAACGGACGGTGAAAACTGTTATCGGTAAGTTATTGTGGGTTATTATAAAAATCCGAGGGTTTGTGAGTGATGTTGATTGCTGGGACAGGCGGTACTGCGGGACACAGCTGTTTGGCTGCCTGCCTCCTGAGCTATGCGGCCTGTTGACAAGCTGTCCCCATCTGTCTGCTGTCCGGGGACAGTCCGGCGGTTTTGCGCGGTCAGACAGGTGATTAGCGGGTCAGTCTGCACACCGGAGCCTACCTGCGACGGCGAACACGCCTCGCTAGCCGCAGGTGGTGCAGTTTTGTGAAGCTTGTGGGCTAAGCTAGCTGAAGATAACAAAGCCCCGCTACGTTCACCTTTCAAAATTCTTCCACTTAAAGGTTGCCATCTTTATTTTTGCAGGCAACGTCACCTTTAAGAAAATACACGGAGACCTTGGTGTTATTAGGAGCTGGAGAAAAATAAGCTCACAAGTAAACAAGTGAGCAATGCTTTTGTTAAAAAGACATTTACGTATTGGATTGCTTTGCACTGTTCCTGCCTACTTTGTGTTTTGGTGTATGTGCGATAAAACTGAACTGTCATGACGACATGCGTACGACGTGACTAAAAATATTAACCGTTTATGTATATGTTATGTGCATATGCATATATAGAGTTATCTGTATACATAAAAGATATAATTTACAAATACATACTTAGACAAGACAGTGATTTTTATTCAATTTCGGTAGTTAAAAAATGATTTTTTTTTTTTTTTTTTTTTTTTTTTTAAATCTACCAAAAGATTTAGTTCACCCCTGGGCAGGTGAAACACACACTGGTACAGCTGGTGTGTGTGTGTGTGTGATGCACAGAGATGGTTTCATTTAAACATGTAGGTTGTTATTTCCAGTAACAGTCCCACTGCACATGTAAACCTGTACTGTATTCATAACTGCACAAAGAGCTGCTATTTTATTTATTTTTTTATTCACTTTGCTGTCATGACAGTAATTCCACCGTTATAGAAGTGGTTCATTCACTGGTAAAGGTTTTTACTTGAATGAGCACATTTAGAGAGTGATGTAATGGGATTTGAAGCACAGCTAGAGGGCAGCACAGCAGCTCTGTCTGTGGACAAGAACAACAGATCTGATGTGGAGCAGAAGCCGGTGTTTCTCCTGGTAATGGAAGTAAAATGTTGAACTGAAAAGCAGGAAGGTATTTTACAAAACTCTTTCTATATGCGTAGGGAGGATGTCCGTTTCTTTATACCTCATGTGGTAAAGAATGTTAAGTAGAGTTGCATGATATTGGGAAAAATAAATTGTGATATTTCTCTTTTCTGGGATTCTAAAATGATTGGAGTATTTATTTAAAATAGTATAACTGCATAAGAAAATGGAAAAAAGCAGTTTGGAACCTTCTTTACATAGTAATACACTGAGAAAGACATCCACATTAATAGTCATTTTAGTTGTAAATGCAGGTTTTTTGGGGGGGGGGTTGTATCCAATATACCTAAAATATGACTAAATTGTTTTACATCAAACAAGCCTGTGTGGTAGATTAGTCATGGGAAGTGAGAAACATGCAGGTTTTCATTATGTGTTAACACAAGAAGTTGATGTATTTGAGTTCCTGCGATGTGGCTGTTAGGAATACACACAGTACTGATGCTGAAATGATATCCAATTACAATGAACGCTGAAAGGCTGAGGTGTTTATTGAATGGAATTTGTAGGCAAAAGCCTACTGTAGTGTTGCTGCAGTGATGAAGCTGTGTGACACCATGTTTAATATGCCAGGTATCTGATCACACGCCCCTTGTCATTTCAGTTTGTGGGTCAATGTGTGATCAGAGCGTGAAGAAGCAAAAGTGATGCGACCGATCAAGGTCGTTTTATATGAGCCCCCGACAGCCCAGAGTGAGAAGAACAATTATATCTCCACTGCAACGTTTGTGTTGCCTTTACCGGTTCTAGTCGATGTTAAGTGCTGCCATAACAGACGGTTTGATCTCAGGTTTTTTGGGGCATAAGTGGAGATGTAATCTATCCTGTTCCACTTGGGAGAGCTCCAGTAACTGAGGCCTATTAATAGAGTTATAGTTGGGAAAGCATGGAGCCTCTGTCTAAAATAAGGCAAACAAACCAAGTTATGCTGTTAAGGTTTTGCACAAAGGTTTTTGCCAGCAAACAGCCTCTTTTGGAGCAGTTATTTATCAGTATGACCCAACTCCAGCAACCTGAAACAAAGACATTCAACATTCTTTGGTCAGTCCCAAATGCAAAGGTCACTTTATCAGTGAGCAGTCTCATTAACAGGGCTGCCAATAACAATTGTTCCATTGTTCATTAAACTGTTGATTATTTTCTTGATTAATTAATTAGTTGTTTGGTCTAAAAATAATGCCGGGAAATCAAGATGACGTCCTTTGATGTCTTGTTTTGTCCACGACCCAAATATATTCAGCTCACTGTCAGAAGAGTGCAAAAAAAAGGAAAATATCAACATTTAAGATGATGGAAGCAGAGAAGGTTGACGTTTTAAAGAATTATCAAACCATCCATCCCATGGAGCTCTACCGGAGGAGTTCTGGTAGCACAACAGTCTGTGTTGGATTTCCGCAGATGGTCTTTGCATCAAATGTCAAATATTCCTAATTAGTTATATTAAATCATTTACTTTGCAGCACCTTCTTTAATTCATATTTTCTTTGCTTCTTTCATCGCAGCATCTGTGAAAAGGCAGCCACGATGAATCCGGTCTACAGCCCTGCACCAACAGGGGTCCCCTTCACCAACACCAAGGGTCTGGGCTACCCAGGTAACTCAATGTGTTTACTATAGTGGTTTAAACTTATGTCCTAAATACAAGAAAACAGTCCAAAGCCAAGGAAAGCATTGAATTTGTTTTTCTGTTTGTGGTCACGGCAGCTGGATTCCCTGTTGGCTACGCGACAGCTGCCCCAGCATACACTCCCAACGTCTATGCAGGAGCCAACCCAGCCTTCTCCAGTGGTGAGAATGAAGTCATGAACACCTCCCAGATGATTTGGATCTGATTGCACTTAACTAGAAATGATTAGATTTTTATTTGAACTAAATATAAGATAAGAATGGATACTGTACTTGTACTTCTGTGTGTTGTGCATCTGTTCAAGATTGTAAAAAAAATATTCTAACTGGACTGATTGAAGTCTTTGTTTACTGAGTAGAAGGACTTATAAATCCTGACTAAACAGCACTAATGCAGGGCGTCTTCCTCTCTCTGCAGGCTACGCTCCGGGCACTCCGTTCAAAATGTCCTGCTCTCCCAACACAGGGACTGTCCCACCGTACTCCTCCTCACCAAACCCCTACCCTGCTGCTGTGTACCCTGTCAGGAGCACCTACCCCCAACAGAACCCCTATGCACAGGTCAGTGAGTTAGACCCTCGGTGGTGGTATTAAAACGCTCGCTTGTTTCTCTTTATCCTGTTTGACTTCACTGCGGTGCTGTACTTGTTGTTCCAGGCACTAATACCTTCACAACAGCAAGGCCCGTACTACACACAGCCGCTGTATGCTGCGCCGCCTCATGTTATCCATCACACGACGGTGGTCCAGCCCAATGGGATGCCCGCGGCCATGTACGCCCCGCCCATCCCTCCTCCCCGCCCCAACGGTGTCGCCATGGGGATGGTAGCTGGCACCACCATGGCTATGTCAGCTGGTGAGCGATTCATCACTTTAGTCTGTTTTTTTTTTCATATTGAATACAAAATGCATGATTTATATGTACGGCTCTGCTCCTCAGGAACTTTGTTGACAACTCCATCACCAGCGCCTGTTGCCCCCCACCCGGTCACGATGCCCACGTATCGGCCTCCTGGCACACCCAGCTACAGCTACGTGCCCCCGCAGTGGTGAAGAGAGGGAAGCGTGAGTACGACGAACGGAGACGCTTACGTGCAAAAATACACGCAGCTTTAAGGTTGTATTTACGCCTTTTATTCTCCCTGCAGGTTAGAAGATGGTAGATATGCATTCACACTCTACTCCAGTGTTTTTTGCTCTTGGTGAAGACCTGCCCCGGCGGCGTCCGCAACCGATTACTCTTCTTCCAGCATAATGTGAATCTAAAACCCAACTACATAGAAAGAGGCCCATTCGGACAGGGAGGGGGTGAATAAAAGGCCCATCCCCATGACCCCTCCTGATGGAATAAGGCTGCATTCCATGCCACACCCCCAGCGCCAGCACCTCGACAACCTGCTGCATATCTCACATCAAACTGCAAAGCCTCCATGCAAAACTTTTTGTGGACTGTCATGCAGGTTTTTATAGCTTAAACTCTTAAGTGGTGAAAAGGGAGTTTGGAATAGTT